CTAAGCCAGAGGATTCAGTACCTCAACTGCAGGCTGGACATGGTGGCCGAGACTCAAGTGGTCTTTACTGTAAGGAACGGGATGGGGAGGTGGGGAAGGGTGGGTGAGCTGTTGTCTGGGCTCCCAGGAGGGGCTCAGCAGAGCCTGAGGGAAGAGGGGACTCCAGGCCTCTGCTGGATGCCAGGCTGGCAGGTCAGACCTCAATTCAAATCCCAAATGGGCCACTTCTCTGTATTGGTCTCTTAGAAGAGCCTCACCTCCTGGCTCCTCCTGCTCCCCTCTGTCAGCTCACCCCATCCACGGGCTCTCAGGCCAGCCTCACCTCCCAGCCTCTTCCTTCCCACCTGCACCCAGGAGCAGCCACCAGCTTCTCCCCATGGCATCCCTACCATGTCATCCAAGCCCCCCGTCTCTTGCCCACCTGACTGCCCATGTCCTCACATCTCCCCATGGTACATTCTCTGAGTCACAGTCAGACCAGATGTGAGAAAAAGCCATCTTACCACATCACTCCCCCGGACTCAGGGTGAAGTCCAAACTCTTTAATGGGACACACAGGCAGCCTCCGTGGTCTGTCCTCCACACCTTTTCTTCCCTCTTGCCCCACTTAGACGTCACTTCCCCTAAGCCTTGTCTTACCCCCTGGCCTGGGTTGGGGTCTCCTGCTGCTGTAGCACCTCCCTTCCCCATGTGCCCACAGACCACATGGTGAGGCCTCCATTAGAGCACTGTGTGCAAACAGGCAGGGGGAGAGGAGACTCAGAACAGGGAACAGTCAACTAAGTGCTCCCTGCGGCACCAATCCCACCTTTGTCTAAGGTCCTGCTGCTGGGGCAGTTGGCCACTCACTCAGCCTCGCATTCATTCAGCCCCTGGTCCATTCGGTCAGAAACACCACCTGGACACGTGAATGCTGCCCTACGGGTCGTAGAAGATGCTGAGACTTTTCCTTCATAGCACTGGTCTCACTTTTGACAAAGCCTTTATTTATATAAGTATGCCTTAAATGTCTGTCTCTTCTCTGAGCGGACTGTGAGCTCTATGAGGGCAGCAGTCACGTGTGGCCTCTCCACCCCTGTGTCTCTAGCTGTCTCCTTGTAGAGAGCAGCACTCAGGAAACATTTTTGAAGGCATGAATGAATTAAGGAATGAGTGGACAGCCCTCTAAGGAGTTATGACCATTGACATTTTATGGAAGAGAAAGCAGAGGCTCACAGAGGCGAGGCAGCTTGCCCCAGCCACACCGCTTGGATGAGATGGGGATGGACTGTCAACCCAGCCTGCTGCCTCCCGGCACCCGGGCTGGTCCCCACACTCAGCCTTTCTCTCTGGCCAGCAAGACAATGTTTTGACTGATGTGGATGTAGAAAGTGACATCCTGGTAACTTCAGAAGCCCTTGAAGAAGAGGCCAAGACAGACCCAGTCACCCCTGAGTCCTTCGCCCAGCCGAGTCGCATGGGGAAACCCATGACTGAAGACCCAGCCGTGGAGGTGGTCAAGAAGATCCTGCAGTGAGTGCCTGGGGTGCACAAGGGGGCCCTGGACCTTCAGGGACTGGCTTTGGGGTCTCACATACTGAGATTTCCAGGTGAGCCCACCCCTGACAGCCTGTGACCTCGGGCAAGGGGCTTCCCCTCTCAGAGCTTCAGTTACTCATCTGAAATGGGGCTCAGATAGGACTGACCCACATGGTGTTGAGGACTAACTGGACAGCTCAGGCTGTCCTCGTGGTCAATGTGGAAATGTTCACATCCTTTCCTTTGCTGTCAGATTTTCCAGCATAAAATGGTCAGCCCAGCAGTGTGACAAAGATCAGTCCCAGACAGGTAGGGGCAAGCAGGTCTGAGGGTCTTGGGGCAACCGGTGGTGGGGAAGCTGGTGGCACTGTGTGGCCCATCCTCACCTCCTGTCCTCTGCTCTTGTTCTGGGCACTCGTCACCCAAAGGCTTCAAGCGATATCGGTGCCGGGCAGAAAACTCTGTGAAGAAGGCCTTGCCCAGCACCAGCGCCACATCGGCAGGGAGGTAGGAATCTCCCCCTCCCAGACCCCCAGCCTGTTGCCTCAAAGGCCAGAGACAACCCCGTTGGTCTCCCGGACTCTGTCCTCAGTACCTGCCACCTGTGCTCACAGATGCCATGGGTCCCAGTGAGTGGGTAGCTCTGAAGCGGCTTTCGTCAGCTTTGAGCTCATCCTGCTGAGGGACGTGGCTCATGCAGGCCTCCACCTGGAGAGTGTGTCTGGGAGTTCAGTGATTGTCCATGGTGATAGCAGGTGGATTCCAGCCTCGCTACCTCCCCCCACACGTGGTCATGGATAGAAAGAGGGACAGTTGGAGCCACGGAGCAGAGNGGGAGATAGCTCTCTTTCCTCCCTGCCCTCTGATCTAGACAGGCCAGTGTCCTGGTATCTGGTGGGTTCATTTCTCACTCAATCTCATACTGAAAGTGTCATCCTCTGGGTCCAGCTCTGTGCTGTGCCCTCACCCTGTGCAGCTCTCAAGGCTGAAACTCAAAGTCTCCTGGGCAAGAGCCAGTTTTGGCAGCCACCCACATTCCAAGGGACCTTCCAGCTTCACTTCATCTGGGGACTCTGCAGAATTCTTACCTTTACGCAGCTCCAAGAAAACTATTTTTACTTTGACTGTTATTCGTTTCAGTTGGGTCTGTCAGGGTATCTGATCCGAAAAGCTGACAAAAATAGAAATTCCANGAATCTCCCCCTCCCAGACCCCCAGCCTGTTGCCTCAAAGGCCAGAGACAACCCCGTTGGTTTCCCGGACTCTGTCCTCAGTACCTGCCACCTGTGCTCACAGATGCCATGGGACCCAGTGAGTGGGTAGCTCTGAAGCGGCTTTCGTCAGCTTTGAGCTCATCCTGCTGAGGGACATGGCTCATGCAGGCCTCCACCTGGAGAGTGTGTCTGGGAGTTCAGTGATTGTCCATGGTGATAGCAGGTGGATTCCAGCCTCACTACCTCCCCCCACACGTGGTCATGGATAGAAAGAGGGACAGTTGGAGCCACGGAGCAGAGGGCCTTCCTGGTGGGATGTCATAGAGCTGCAGAGTACTCCTGGGCCTTGGGTGCCCTGGTCATTCACTCTGCCCACTAAGCCCTGTCAGGGTCATTAGGCTAAGGCTTTCACCGCACCCTCCTCACACATGGTGGGATGTCATAGAGCTGCAGAGTACTCCTGGGCCTTGGGTGCCCTGGTCATTCACTCTACCCACTAAGCCCTGTCAGGGTCATTAGGCTAAGGCTTTCACCGCACCCTCCTCACACAGATTTTATGGAAGGTGGATAACAGAAGCCACAGGGCTGAGCAGACCTTCTGGATCTTCCCTGGTTGACGTGGTTTAATTCCTGGTTTTGAGAAAGTGAGAGGAATCCCCACTTTGCCTTTACTGCCAGAAGGTCTTTTTGAACATGCATGCTGTCTGGAATGTGGAAAGAAACAATGGCCAACCAAGCGAGAAGAGCCAAGCCTATTGACTCGCAGCCGGCTATAGCAGGGAATCAGCCACCATAAAGCATTTCAGCAGAGACTCAAGGGCAGGCAGAGGAGTGGGGGGCTTTGCACATCCTCCCCAGGTGGGTCCCGATCAGAGGCTGTTGGCACGAGAAGCTGGAGGTAACCGACTAGAAGCAGGGCATCCTATGGGATTGGTTAGGGTGCATATTTGGTTTTCTCTGGTTTGTCCTAAGTTGAAAATGGGGACAAAAATTAGGAAAGCTGTCAGTTATTAATCAAGTCCTGGCTATTTGGGGCCTATCATTACAGGAGATATCATTCAGCTTCCTGGACTGTTGCCAGAGATAACCATCTGACTTGCTGCAAGTCTGGCTTATAGCAGGCTGGCTTCCTGGGCTATTTATTGTAGATAAGGAGGTTGGTCCCCTGGGCAGGTTGCTGCAGGTTGTGGGTCCAAGTTTTATTTTTTATATATATGTTCCAGCCATCATCTGTTCATATAATCACTCTCTCAGAAGTTATAAAATGAAGTTCATGTCACTAGAGCTGGCACATAAAAAAGAGGATGCCCAGTTAAATTGGAATTTCAGATCAACAACACCTAAAGTTTTAGTACAAGTATATCCCAAATGTTGCATGGGACATACTTACACCAAAAATTACTGTTTGCTTTTATGAAATTCAAGTTTACCTGGGCATGCTGTATTGTTACTTGATAAATCTGGCAACATGGTTTTCTTTGGGTCCTCAGTACAGGGAAGCGAGGATGCCCTCTCTCAGTGGCCTTGGCGGGATTTTAGCTGTATAGGTTTCCCCCATGATAAGATTGTCTTCAGAACTGTTGAGGAGTCAGGAAGCATCTAGAAGGGCTCAGACCCAGAAATGGAAGGCGGGTTGCCCCTTGGGCAGGCCCAGTGCCCCCAGGGCCCCCAGCAACCCACCTCGTGTCTGTCCCTAGCCTCCAGAGCAGTGACCCACCTTTGTCCCACAGCATCACACGGCATTCCAAGCCGAACAAAATGGACAGAAAGTACCAGGTGCTCGGGGACAAACCTCCTCCTTCGGCCAAGTAAGTGACAATACCTTTCCCTTTAACTCCATTTAACCTATTGTTTCAGCCAAATCTGACTCAGCAGAGGGGCAACATAAGAAAGGGGATGGAGAGGCCGATAAAGAAGAGGAGGAGCAGGGGTAGGGAGGGGACGTTAAGGGGCAAGGTCAGTGTGCCTCAGCCCATTTCACTTAAATTTGTCGAGAGACATTTTCACCAAAATTTCACATTTTCCAAACTGAGCATTTTGTGGCAGGGCAGTAGACCCCTTTGAGGTCTGGAGGGTTTTTGTAGTTTTTTCAACACTCTTCTCCACCCCCCATTTCTCTTTTCCTATATCGTAATTTCAGTGATTAAAACAAAATGTATGGTTTTCTGAATATGAAAATATAAAAAATAAAATAATAAAAATTCTAAAAAATAAAATAAAAACAAAAAATCTGGTCCATTTAGTTTGGTTTCATTTCAAGCAAACAAGCAAAATTTCAAGTCAGAAAACTAAAAGCCCTCAGAGAAAGTCAAGCCTACTTCTTCTAATCAGGGAACCCCCCCAGTATAGCATTCTCTTCTCATCAGCCCTTTCACACCAGGGGTCTTAGCATGTGGGGCTTGTGAACCCTGCAGAAAAGGGTGGCTGTTACATCAGGTGGCCCAGGAGTAGCCTGCAAATCAGCGGCTAGATGTTCCCTCATCCCACACACCAAAAGACAATTCCCACACCATTAAAACCTTGACTTTTCTGTTGTTGATAGTTCTGTGTCATTTTATCCCACGTGTAGATTCCTACAACCACCACCATAGTCAAGATACAGAACTGTTCCAGCCCCACAAAGATCTCCTTCCTGCTACCCCTTCATATGCCACCCCACCTCCTTCCCCTTACCATGCCTAAACCTGAACAGCCACTAATCTCTCCTCCATCCCTATAATTTTGTCACTTGAAGAATGTCATATACATGGACTCAAACAGTATATGACCTTTTCAGACTGGTTTTTTGTACTCAGCATAACGCCCTTGAGACCCACCCAAGTCGTCCTGTGTATCAATAGTTCATTCCTTTCTATGACTGAATAGTATTCCATAGTATAAATGCACCAGTTTTTTAGTGATTAAAAGAAAATCATAGACTAAACAAAAATAAATTAATTAGCATTTATCAAATCTCTGAAAAGCGAGAGAATTTTCTGGCATTGCACAGTGGTTAATTTCTCCAAAAATAGAATCAAACCAATCCTGTTTGTATCCCAACATTGGGATCCTGGCGAAGTGGCTTCTCTCCAAGCCTCAGTCTTCCCATCTACACAGTGGGTACAAGAGAACCCTCCTCTTTGAGATGTGGGAAAAAGCCAGCAAGTTCCCACATGTCCCAAGCTGGGCTCCCTTCACTAATACAGAATTGTCACCCTGAAAAGTACTAGTAGTAATCTCCAAAGATGGGAAATTCGCAAAAAAATAAAAAATAAAAAAAGATTGGCAAATAAATAATTACCTCACCCTAGCAAATAGCTCAAGAACTCAGGAGAGGGGAGACTTTGAAGAGACTATGCCCAAAGGAGGAAACACAATTAGGAATAAGCACCTGAGAGAAACAGCCTCACTAGGATGCAAAAAAATGAAAGGGAGCAGGTCCTTTCCATATTTCACCTGAGATTAACCAATACATAAATGAATTTTCCTGGAAGCTGACAGTTTAGGGAAGAAGGGTAGTGATGGTCCCTCCCTTGCAATGAGATTGGGAGGTCAACAGCACATTATTTTTCCAGAAAGCAGTTTGGCAAGGTCTAGTGAAAACCATAATATCATGCCTTTTTGCAACTCTTCAGGTCTCTCTCCCAAAGAAATCACCCCACCACAAAGAAAAAAATTTCTTGCACAAAGGTATTCTGTGCAATACTTTTTGTACCAGTTAAAAATGGAAAAAAACCTAAAAGCCTCAAATCAGGGGATTATAAACTGTGGCATTTATATACTGGATGGTGTTCCACAGCCATTTAAAATGTCCCAATAATGGGAACACTTAAATTTTAATAAGTGAGCAGAGTAGAATGTGAAATATACATAAACCTAACTATGACCGATTTTAAAATTAGCAGGAGGAAATACACTCAATTTTCGGTATTCGTCTTTCCTTTGTTTTTTAGTATATTTCTTAATTATGATGATTGAATTTCAAAATGAAAGATACAGTGAACTGTATACATATACTTTAGAAACTGGAAAACAATAAAGTATATCTACAACAGTCACTGAGACCCTTTATACAGATTGTGAAAAATGAAGTGTCCTGTAGCTGCACATAGTTCCCATGCATCTGTCCTTTATCTCGCTCTTGCTTTCAAAACAGTTGACCTAACTGGATGGGAACATCAACTGGGTCTGTGGAAAGTTGCTTAATAAACTCCTGGAGTGTGTGCAGTGGGCCTAAAGGCCAGGCTTAGCAAGCGGATGTTTGGTCCTACGTGAAGCCCTGTTCGTTTGATTACCATTCATAAGTAATTATTCTTTATTCTTTCAGCCAATATTGAGGCACTGATGGGTGCAGGCACTGATGGGTGCAGGCACTGCACTGGGGCTGGGGATTCCATGGTGAACAAAGACAGACACACACAGTCCATGTCCTGTGTTAAAAGATAAACTTCAGCCCGTTAAAATTTTAGTGAGTTTATCTGAGCAGACAGCGACGCATGAATTGGATGGTGCCAGACTGCCAGCAGTTCAGGTCTCCACTGGGGGAACCAGGGGAAAACTTTTATAAGGTGTTCACAGATGCAAGACAAAGAAAATATTTGATTAGTTAAAATGGCAAGTCCCTACTGGAGGTTAATTGGCTATTTCTGATTGGTTAAGCTTGAATTTGGTTTTCCTAGACTGTGACCATTCACTCTGAGTTGGGTTTCAGGTTGCTTATGTAGGAACCCAGGCTCTGGAGGCCTAATGGCCTCCCAATTAATATTTTAAACACGTGGTATACTTTACAGTCTGCTGGGAGAGCTGGAGGTTTGTCAGCCAGTCACACAAATCAATCCCAAATCCACCTGGTTAGAGTGCAGTAGTGCTGAAGGGCCCTCTGAGAGCATCAGAACCAGGTGGCCAGGAACTGGATCTGAGGAAGAGCAAGAACAAATGCAACCAAGAGGAAAGTTACCAGCTTTTTTGGAGAGAATCAGAATGCGCAAAGGTCCTGGGGCAGTAGTGAGTAATTACAAGGAGTGATAAGGTCAAAATAGGACATTCAGAAAGTTCTGTCCATTTGGTTTTAACTGCATTGGTGGGTCTAGACAAGCTCGTCAGGATCTGCCTTCTGTGTGTTGCAGGGACTTTAAAGGGATCGTCCTGAGCCTCCTCTGGGAGAGCAATGACCACCTGCTGACTGTCATGGAGGTGAGGACCACCACCCACAGGCCTGTGCCCACCCTGGAAGCACATCCCCAGCTGCTTCTGCCTTCTGCAGTCTGCTGATCATGGCCACTTGGGGCTGTGGGGGTGGGCACCTGGCATACCCACACAGTGGTGCATGTACAGTCTCTCCTGTCTGCCGGCCACTGGGCTGGGAGTCCTGCAGGGCAGAGGCTCCAGCTCATTCACCTTTCTGGCCTTTACCCAGCTTGGTGATACCTATAAGCTCCCAACCTGGTCACCAATTTGAGATTCCACGGATTTGTGTCTTGAAAGATAAACAGGATTTTGCCGTTTATTCACTCAAAAAATAACAAGGGCCAGCCATGGCCTTGGGTCACACGAGGTGGGCTCTGGGATATGGATGGAGGTAGCAAGGGCAGACGGGGAGGATGAGTGTCCCCAGCATCGGGGGTGGTACGAGCAAGGCTAGGATGTGTGGAGACAAGAGTGGGCTGGTGGATCCCAGGAGCAAGGGCCAGCATCCCATGGGGAGAGTTCTCACCCACAAACAGTCAACCCTCTCTGGCAGGATTTTTACCGCAAAGAGAAGCACCCCGTCACCAGGCCTGACTGCATGTATGAAACCTTTGACCAGTGCGCTGAGAACGTCGGCAAGAAGATCCTGGAGTACCAGAGCCAGACAGACGAGTACCACAACTCCTGCCTCATGGGTGGGTGCAGGCCACCGGTGGGCAGGGGGGACACAGCGTGGCCTGAAGCCGTGACCACACTTGGCCTTACTGCCTGGATCCTGTTGTCCTTACTTACAGGTCACTGGGGAGGCAGAGGAGCCTCTTGTGAAAAGCCAACCTCCTAGAATTTGATAAAAATAATGATAAAATTTAACTGGGGAGAAAAAACAATGGGGAAAAAAGTTGACTTTTCTTGAGAAATATGGTAATTGATACCACTAAAAATATTTTGTTTCTTCCACGGAAGTTTTTGCCAGCTTTACTGGGATATTTGCACACCACACAATTCATGAAGTGTACAATTCGATGGTTTTGTGCAGTCCTCACCCCCATCAATTTTTAAGCCCCCATCCCTCATCCCCTCCCCAGCCCTAAGCAACCACTGATCTACTTTGTTTCTATAGACTTCCTTATTCTGTACTTTCATGTGCATGGAGTCATATCGTATGTGGTCTTTTGTGACTAGCTTCTTGCATTTTGCATACTGTTTTCAAGGTTTGTGCATGTTGTAGGTTGTATCAGAACTTCATTCCTTTTTAATCACTATATAATATTCCACTGTGTGGATCTAGCACATTTTGCTGTGGTCTGCTGCACTGATTCAGAGGCAGCATGGGTAGCCAGACCTGCGGCCGTGATCCAGCACTGCCACCTCCCAGCCATATGACCTTGGCCAAGTGATCTCACCTCTCTGAGCCTCAGCTTTCTTGTCTATATACTGGAGATAATAACACCCATCATGAAGGCTGTTTTGAGGATTAAGTCCTTTGCAAAAACTTGTTACGTACAGGGAATAATCAGCAGACGCTCTCATTACTGTGGTTGTTGAATGACTGGCATTGAAACTACAGCCAGCATTTTGTTTCTCTAGCTCAGAACTTCCCCCAAGGGAACACTGTAGGATTCCATCCTACATGATCATCCTCCGAACAAAGGTTCCATGATCAGATAGGTGTGGGAAATGCTGCAGATTATGTCCCTCTCTGGTAGATTCACAGTTTACGTTAGTGGAAACTTCCATTTCCTGCAGTTTGGCAGGCCACTATCCTGTCCACCTCTCCCACTGAAAACATGTAAAACTATGGATAAAACGTTTTTGTGGTGAAATATTTTATTTTATTTTATTTTGTTTATTTAGGGATGACCGGTAAGATGATCTTAACCCCTGACTTGGTGTTGTCAGCACCACACTAGGGATCTGAACCCATGGCCTTGGTGTTATCAGCACCACACTTTCCCAAGTGAGCCACAGGCTGGCCCTATGTGGTGAAATATTTTAAATGCATTGAAGAGCCAGCTGTAACCACAAAAGCCAAATATTTAGTGAAAATAGGAACTCTGAGTGATCAATTGAGCAGTAACCCTGGTTATTGCCCTATGGGCACGTGCTGACTTTCAGATGAACTTGAGCCTCTATTTTCACGGTCTCCAGAGCACTGGGGATCAGGGGACAAATCTGCAGACCACGAAGGTGGGAAGTCTAAAAGGAGATAAGCCACATAAAGCTGGAATCCCAGAGGGCTCCACCTGTAGAACAAGGTGAATGAGACATAAACCAAGTCCCTCCCTCTCTCTCCCTCCAGCAACTAGAAGGGAACTGTCTTATCAAAAACCTCAGTACTGAGTGAAGAAGAAAAAAAACTCCAATGAGAATCCAGAACTATAAGCCAGTCCTTACATGGTTTCTAAACCTGAATTCACTTATCTAAACATGAATTCAATTTTGTTTTTGTGGGTCATCTGAAAGACCTTCAGCTGATTGATACTTTAGCTTAAAATGATCTTGAGTTGGTAGTGTCCAGAAGCTTACTTGTTAAAGACACTACAAATTCCCTCTAGAAAAACCCACCTTCAACTCAGCCTTCGAAAGGATTCCCACAAATAAAATGCCCAGAATAAGAGCTCATAGTAATAAACAAAAAGCAACCACAAAATCCACAAAAAATACAAGGAAACAAAGCACCCTGAGCAAAAGGCAGCAGAATGAGACCAGCAAAGACTTCAGATATTGAAGTATCAGACCCAGGATATAAAATAATATGCTTATTATTATTAAATAAAAGAGGGAATTGGAAACACGAGTAAGGGGCAAGACACTATTAGAATGACCAAGTAGATATGAATGAGAATTAAATGTAATTTGTATAAAGGAAAAATTAAGAGTTGAAATTTTAAAACTATCAATGACTTTACTACCAGGTTATACACAGTTAAAGGTGGAATTGGTGAACTGGAGGTAGATCCAAAGAAAGTTTCCAGAGTGCAACACAGAAAGTCAAAGAGATGAAAATATGGGAGAGTGGTGAAGAGATATGGATAAAAAAATAGGTCTCACATATGGCTATTTGGAGATAGAGAGGGAGAGGAAGGAGACTAGAGTCAAGGCAATATTTGAAGAGACAGTGGATGAGAACTTGCCAGAACTGCTGAAAGACACAATGCACTTTATCAGCACCACTCTCTAACCAACACTTTAAATGGGCAAGAAGTCTGAAAAGTACAGAGGAGAAGCCATTTGAACTTGTTTAACCCAGTAAACAAGAAAACTATTCTGGTTTGACCATGGAACCCCTTCAGATAGAATAGCTATTACCACATCAGAGACACAGGTTTTCCCTCTGGGAAACTGCTTTGGGCCTTTGTTGGAGAGATCACCTCAGCAGCTTGGTTCTACTCTGTCCCCTCCCCGGACCCCTTCCCCCAATTCCTACAGAATTACGGGTCCAGATGAGGAGATTTGAGGAGCTGCTGCCCCAGGTGTGTTGGTTACTGACAGAGAATTTCAAGGAGTACCACTGGAAAAAGTTTTCTTCCTCCATGAAAGAGATGCAGGAACAGTTCGAGGAAAAGCAGAAGGAGTTGGAGAAAAGGAAGGTGAGGATCCCAGGACCAGCCCTTCTACTGTAGGACCAGGGGTCCTAGGAGTTCAGAAATGGAGGCAGGGCCACTCCAAGGGAAGGAGATGAACCAGGCTCAGGATTATTGGATGGGGGCCAAGGGACAGGAGACACTAGTGAGATAAGAACTGAGCCAACAGCTTCTCCATAGAAGGTGTTCAGTAAACTCCTTGCTGGATTTAATGGGTGGGTCTGCTGGGTTCACGGGAGCCTTGGTCATTGAGATCAACAATGATGGTCTACACTGTCCTTGGAGCTGTGGGACATGAATGCTGCTGCTCGTATTATACCAAAGCCCTGATTGTGCTGGGGCAGATGCTCAGCTCTCCCTCTCCCTCACCCTCAGGGTCGGCTCCAGCCATGTCCCCATCTTCCTCCCTCTGCCACTCACTCCTCTGCCCACCCATGGCCCCTCACACAACCAGGTCAGAGGACACATCAGTTTAGCCGTGGCTATAACTGACAGAAGATATAGGCCAGTGACTTTTTGATCCTGACCTCAAGATTGGGTCAAAATCCCCACTGAATTCTGAATTGTTTGATTGAAGGATGAAAATGCCCAGAAGCTCCATCCAAATCTTGGACACCCCACATATTTCCAAGAAATGGAGTCTCTACACACAGTGGAAGAAAAAAGACAGGAAGAGCTGGACAAATTGATTGGGATGAACAGGGAGAAGCTGGAGGTCAGTGGTGCCATTGGCTCCCCCGTCCAGGTGCTGAGGGCCACGCTGCCCTACAGAAAGGTGGCCCCAATGGTCAGCACTGGTGGTGCTGAGTGTGCCCTCTGCTGGCACCTTGGCCAAAGCAGGCATGAAGATGGGTGGGTTTTGTAGATGAAAATGGCCATTATTGGCTGTTTTAACTTGCATTTCTTTGATTTCCAAATTAATTACAAAATTACCAATGACAACTTTTTTTTTTTTTCACAATTTACATCTAGTTTTATTTATTTCCTCTTTGACGAATTGTCTGTGTGTGTCCCTTGGCCATTTCTGAATCATCTCCTCTCCTCAAGCCTCCTGACAGAGGACAGATGCCAGTTAACTCAGACACAGTTGGCACAATGGCTTTGGCCTCAGCCCCCCAGCTGGCTCCCCAAATCCTTCCTGCAGAGTCCACCCAGCCCCTCCCTCAGCCTGCCTCGGAGAGAAGTTCCTCTCCCTGCAGCACTGTGCTCTTCCTGTCTCTTCTAGGAATTCACCAGGAAGTACGGCCAGTTTTTCATAGCCAGCTTGGCTGCCTTCACTGAGAAATTCCTGCTGCAGCTGGATGAAATAGTCACCATTGACGATATCAAGGTTCCAAGTAAGTGGCACCACTAGCCTTGTGCCCTGGCCCTGGGGATGAGTGGTAGGTTGGGAATGGAGATGGCAAATGCCAGATGGATCAAAGATATATGCAATAAATAAAACCCTAATAGTAAATACTTTCGTACTCTTGGGGTTAGGGACACCTTTTCTAAGTATGACATGAAAGCCAGAAGCCATAGAGGAAACAGATGGCACTTCTTTGTGGCTAAAACAAAAATAGAAAAATGTCAAAAGATGGGAAGAGACAAACCACAAAGTGGAAGAGTATTCCTCATAACCTATGGGCTAGAGAAAGGTCAATATCTCTGTAGTACAGAGAACTTTCACAAGTCAAAATTTTAAAAAGAAACAAAGGGCAAACACACTTCAAAAGAGAAGCAATTCATATCACCAGTAACTGTAAAGGACGCTTGACCTCACCAGTGATATAAAATGCAAATAGAAACATGATTGAGATATCATTTTTCACCAAGAGCCTGGTAAAGTTTTTAAGATCGGTGACAACCAGCCCTGGTGAACATGCCAGGAAACAGAGGCACAACCAGAGGAATGTGAATCAATACTGTTCTACTGGAGCACGATTTGTTAATCCACGTCAAAATTCTGAATGTGTATACCTTTGACCTAGCAGTTCTGATCCTAGGAACTTATCCGACAGAAATACTGCACACTTTTTCAAAGATATATGTTAGAGAGTGCTCATCACAGCACCGTTTGAAAAGGCAAACAATTGGGAACACGAATGTCTGTATAGAGGGATTGCAGGCGTTAAGTGATGGTGCGGCTCCACGAGGGAATGCTGTGTCGCTGTTGAAGTGGGGTTGGTAGGTCTGCTGGTGCTCACGTGCAAAGACAGGAGGGGGGACCATTATGTGAAAAGACAAACTGACTAACAGGACGTGTCGATGATCCCATGTTTAGAATCACATGTATGGGGGACTGGCCAGTTAGCTCAGTTGGTTAGAGTGCAGTGTTGTAACACCAACGTCAAGGGTTTGGATCCCTGTACTTGCCAGCCACAATTAAAAAAAAAGAATTATATAAACATGCATACTCACATATTTAAATGAATCTGTGGGGGCCGGTCTGGTGGCACATTCAGTAGAGTGCGGCGCTTGGGAGCGCGGCGGCGCTCCCGCTGAGGGTTCGGATCCCATATAGAGATCGGTCCGCTCACTGGTTGAGCGCGGTACAGGCGCGACACCGAGGGTTGCGATCCCGTTACCAGTCACAAAAAAAGACAAAAAGGAAATAAAAAAGAATAATAATAAAAATAAATAAATAAGTGAATCTGTGTTAGAGATAGAGACAGCGAGAGACAGAGAGAACAAGAGAGACAGAACCTGAGAGAGAGGTACCAAACTACTGATGGTCACCTCTGCTGGGTAGGATTTGTGAGAGACCTCTAAAATCTTTTAGTTCCCACCATTAGGAGTGTTTAAATTTTTTATAATGTGCATATTACTTTTATAAGTATAAGAAGATTAAAATCATCCATTAAATGTAATCCATTTACCACTAATCTCTAATTAAAATACATTCTTTTTATTTTTAAAAGTTTTTATTACAAAGACAATAAATGTTCTTTACAGTAAAATAAGAAGCAAGAACATAGTCCTTCCACCCCGAAATCAGTGCCCTCTCACTTGCCATTCATCCTTTCAGCCCTTTCCCTTTGGGCATTGGCTGCATGTGTGTTGGGGCGGTGGCGGGAGGATCATAGGGCCAGTGCACTTTTGCAAGCTGATTTCCCTCTGGTGGACCTTGGCCAGGTCAGTGCCCTCCCCTGCACATTTTCAGTTGCTACACACCGTAATTTAGTAATTAGTCCCCTGCTGTTGAATGTTGGGTCATTTCCAACTTTTCACTTTTGTAATTGTGCTGAAGAGAATTTCCGCATCTATACATCTCTATTTGGGGGCATCAGACCCTTAGAAGTGCTGTTTCTGGGTCAAAATGTACACACATTTTGAGGTGTGGCCACTTTCTGATACAGGAGGTCCCTTTGTCAAGGACAAGCCTCGTTTGGGGAAGCAGGGCCTGCGGAGACACTGGGGTTGAGAACAAGCAGATGAGATGGCAGTGGAGCCAATGGTGGTGGCTTGCAGGAAACTGCTGAGCCGGGAAGACTCCCTGCACCAGGCCCCAGGAGGCCACCTCTGCTGGGTGGGCTCTGTGACTTGGCTGTGAGCCAAGCTGCCTGGCTAAGCCATCTGTGGCAGACAGGGTGCAGGTCAAGGCAGCTCCTGCTGGCTCTCACTCTAAGCAGGGAGCCCCTTCTCCCCACCAAGAAAACACATCCATTGTTGAGTCAGAGAGATGGACATTTGAGGGACAATCTTGAAGATGTCCCCAGGGACCTTCCAGGGAAGGTTTTTAGTTCAGAACCCCTATGAGCTATACCATAAGCCAAAGAAGGCCCCACAAAGCATATTTGGGGACTCGTGGAAGCTGAGAAGACCAGAGCATCCAGCTCAGGGTTTGCAGATGGAAACAGCACCCAAACCACTCCTCAGACTCCTCCAGCAATGACCCCCTGCCACTGCCACCGCCACCATCCCGTCTGCACATCTGCTACACTCAGCTTCTCTGTGGAGGAGGCTCTGCCTGCCACTGCAGGCTCCAAGTGGGGAGGAGGGTAGTGAGCCCTCATTTCTCTAAATGTCCCTTGATCTCAGGCTGTCGGTGAGACCATGGTCACTAACCTCTCTCTTGCTTGCCAGGTATGGAGCCCCCCAAGCAGAAAACATCAGTCCTCATACGGAGGAAACTCGCTGGGCTCTCACTGGAGGAAGAGAGCGAGAAGCCCCTGATAGAGCGTGGGAGCAGGTGAGAGCTAGCCGACAGCAGCAAGGACACACCATGACCGCTGTGTCTGCTGGGGAGGGGTGCAGTGTAATGGTCAGGCAGACCTGGTAACCTTGGAAAGGTGTTGTGCTCTGAGCCTCAGTTTCTTCATCTGTGAAATGGGCATGGCAGTTTACCTTACTTGGTATTAGGAAGAGAAAGTTAAATGAGGAGTGCCCCTGGCACATACCAAGAGCCCAACAACTATTAGTTCACAGGATAAGGACCCACCAAAGGGGGCTACAAAGAAAGAGAGGTCTGTCTCAGTGGGTGGCACATTCTTGGGTTGCAGGTGGCACTGTGAACCACTCCAGCTGTCTGTCATGTGTGACAGGAGCTGTCAAGTTCCTGTCCCTATGCTTCAAGAATGTGACTCTCCAAGATGCAGCAAAGTGGTGATTCGCCCAGCTATGTTCTCACCAGTGGCCTTTACAGCATAATAGGAAAAATGGGCCAGCCCGAGAGTCTCTGTACACTCTGATTACATAACAGTACGGAAATACAAAACAGAGAACTCCAAGAAGTTCATAACATCGAATGCTCAGTAGGATTTTTTTCTTTTAATTGAGATGTTTAAAGCCATGATGATTGCTAAGCTTTTCCAGTAAGGTTGGTGGGTGGACTAGGAATGATGAAACAAAGCCTGTAGGACTTTTCTCACACATTTGTTTGTAGGAAGTGGCCAGGAATCAAGCCCACTGATATCACCATCCAAAACAAGATTCTCCTCCAGAAAACATCCTCAGTAACCACCACCAAAACGACCCTGGGCCACCTGGCGGCCGTGGAAGCCCGAGATGCTGTGTACCTGGTGAGGCCGAGTGGGATGGGTGTGTCCCGGGGAGTGCAGGTTGCCTCAGTTTGGCTGCTTTTTGGGAAGGGGGGTGCTTCCCACCACTGGGAACCCTGACATTTGACCCATGGAGCAGAAGACACACATCAGTATGCCCCAGAGCTGCAGGTCTCAACACTCAGGACAGTCGATGTTCGTAGGTCATATCCAGTCTCAGTGCTAGCGTGGGTCAGGGTGTGAGCCCGGGTGCTGTGGGAGGCCGGCCAAGGGACACCCCACCCAGACTGGAGGTTAAGAAGGGCTTTCCAGAGGGACAGCAGAGTCAGAGCTAGGGAACATTGTAGACAGGTATGGAGGCAATGGTAACAGCATCTTCGCAGTGGAGGTCACGTAGCAGGAGCAGCTAACAGTTACTGAGTCCTCACAAGGAGCTTCTTCTGTTCTTGACAAGAGGCATCTCACTGAATTCTCCTAGCACCACTATGAGGAAGGTAGAATTATTGTCCCTGTTTCATTGATGAGGACACTGATGCTTAAAGAAACTTGTCCCCTCTGCCACTACAGAGTGGCAGAGCCAGGATTTGATCCTGGCACCTGTCAGACCCCTGTGGGGCCGGCCTGGTGAGGAGGCTGCACACAGATACCACCTGAGGGACCTCTCAGCTCTAAAGATCCATGGACCTTTGGTCCTGGGGCCCAGAAGAAACCTCGTCCTGCCCGATCGTGGTATTGGGAGAGCCTGAGGTACCCAGGGCCAGTCCTTCCCCAGCTGCCACTCTAAGCCCCAGGTAGAGGGAGGCTCTGCTTGCTGAGTTTGGTGAGGGCTTGAGGTCTGAAGGGCTCAGCCTCTCTGTAGCTGGGTGACCCCAGGCAAGGCTCTGAGTCTCAGTTTCCCCATCTGTAAAATGAGGAAAATAACTGGACCTACCTGTTGGGTTATTTGAGAAACGGCTTGTGGAACTCTTGCCAGTGCCTACAGTAGGTTAGGAGCCACCTGCCAGCAGGTTTCAGGATTCCCCCAGGGAAGAGAGTTCAGAGGTGCCTCCTCACGTGGCCTCCTCCCACTACCTTGCTCCCAGAAATATTTAGCATCATTTGAGGAGGAGATGAAAAAGATCCAGGACCACGCCACGTTGCAGGTGAAGGAGGCTCAGCGCTGGAAGGACAGCTGGAGGCGCTCCCTGCACACCATCCAGGGCCTGTACTTGTGACACCCCCCACCCCACCCCAAATAAAGGCTTGTTTTGTACAGACTCCTTCTGTATCTATCTGTCTATATATCTACTATCCATCCATTAGTCCATCTCTGCTCTTTGCCAAGCAGTGTAGCTTCATCAGTGAGCAGAACATGATGTGGTACCTGCCCACGTGCAACTCATTTCCAATGAGGAAGACAAACATGGAAGGGGAGTCCATGTGGTTAGCAGGGATGGTGGGTTCCAGGAATCCAGTTACTCATAATAGACACCGAGACTTCAAAGGAAATAACCTCTAAAAGGCATGTTTGACTTCATTTTTTAAAATGAAATAATTAAAAGTTATGGGAAAATTATATTTTATATTTAACAAATGTGGGTTATAATTGCAACTATGAGCTGATTTCTAGATCCAACAAAGAGTTAATCTGGTATCGATCAGTATCTGTGACATAATTTGTCTGACCAAGTTATAGCATTTTGGCAAAAACCTTCTAGGCCCCCTTAACTTTCCTGAGGGCCTCTTTAATCCTGCGATACTCAGGTCATTCTCTTTTAGCCTCCATCATTTCTGTCAATTTTCTCTTCTTCAATTGCCAGGTGGCCTAACCACGCAGGTCTTATTCGTCAGTAGCTTTCTGTGTCATGTGGACAGGCTGCTCAGATTCCTTCCTTGTTTCATGAACTCCTGGTGTTTTTCACTGTTTGCATTTTGCTTTTGCATCTGTTACATTTTCATGTGCTTTATCTCTTTTAATGACCTCACGAGGTAGGCTTTTGCCCCCATGGCAAGGAAGCTCTAATCAGAAGGTCAGGATGACCTGCTCAAAGCTACACAGCTAGTGTAGAACTTTGGCCAATTTTTGGATTCCCCAAAAGCAGACTAGGACTTGGGGGCAAGTCGTTTGTTTTGGAGATGACCCCAAGAAGCACGAGTGAGGGCATGGGGGAAGGGAGCCTGGGAGGAGAAAAGCCCCATGGGGCCTTAAGGCTTGGCCACCTCAGTGGGTGCCCAGGCTCAATCTCTGGCATCCCACCTGGACTGGCTCTGTCTTTGCTGTGGAAGATTGCCCCTGGGCATTAACACTCCCACACTGCTGGCTTGTGCCAGCTTGCAGGATGGGTACCTCCCAGGGAGCCAGAAAGAGTCTCCAGGCTGGAGAGATATTCAGGGGCACGCTGTCAGCCTGCTGGAGAACAGCTCCTCCAGCTGCAGGTGAGACAAGGGGACATGAGCACAGCATCGGCAGTGTCGCCACTCTGTTTTCCCCAATCCAAGGCCAGGGCCCCTTGTGCCACTCCGCACCCTCTTCCTCAGAGCTCCTTCTAGCCTGCAGCATGCTCTGCACGTCCATTATCAAATTCAGTCCTGCTGGGAAGGGGGTGGCAGTTACCTCATAGACGCTATGTTGTACATCAGAAAACCGAAGCTCAGAGAAATGAAGAAATCTCCAAAGTAACTAGCAGTGAGTGGTGTAGTCGTGATTCTAGCCCAGCTCTGCTGTCCCCCAGGTGTGTCTGCTCCCCACAAAACAGCCTGGAGTGACTGCACCTGGGTGCTTTATAAGTGGGAAAGCACCCAGCAAAATGAGGGGTGCTGTTTCTTCCTCTGCCTCTGGGAGTCTTTGCACCTGTCACATCCTCCTGCCCATCACTGGGCAGTATGCATAGAACAGGGACATAGCCTGCGGTCAGTCATTCTTGACCTCCTGGGGCTGGGTGTTGGGTGGGGAGGACACCTGGTGAGATAACCCGAGACCCCCCCCCCCACGCTCAAAGAAGCTGTTTGGGGTGGGCTAGGGGGAGGAATCATCCACCAGCTGTGTTGGTGTGAGCTGGGGGCTGGAAGGAAAACCTCGACCCATTCCTATAGGAGTCTCATGAGATGGGGACTAAGGTTCCCCCAAGCGTCAGATAAGATCCCTCATGGCCAGCAAGTTAGCAGAGCTTGGGCTAAAGCCAAATCTGTCTGGTCCAAAGACACAAGGCTTTTCCCAGTCCCCTGCGTTGTTGTCTTCCTTGGTTACCTCAGCCTCCCCTCTAGGAGACATGGCGCCACTAGCAGAGATGTCAGCGGACCAGGAGGCACCTGCACCATTGCCCTGGGATACTGTACCTCCCTCCAGGCCCCTCCCACTTCATACCATGGGTATACTGGCCTCATCACCTGTCCTCTGCCCTGCATCGCCTGTCACCTGACCTGTCCCCGCTGTGCATTGCCTGCCCCCTGACCTGTCCCCTGGCCTGTGCCTCTTTGGCTTCGGCCCAGCTCACTGCTCCACATCTTAGAGGTGGTTTGATGCCTGCCCTCAGGGTCCTCCTTGAGCCTGCTAGGGGTGGTAGATACGAGGGTGGTTAGGGACTGGGCACCCAGCACAGCCTGACAGGGCCCACAAACAGTGGCAGAGCCAGGAAGCAGAGAAAGCCACAGACATGGGAGACCCCAGCCAGCCCCTCACTGCTGTGTGACCCCGAGCCAAGTTCCTCACCTGTCTGATGGGGACACTAACCCCATTCTCTTGGCCTTTCCAAACACAGAAGAGATGCCACTGCTTTTAGAGAAGCTTCAGCCCCAAAGTCTTCCAAATTGTAGTCCGCCTCACACTCTGGCTCTGCCTTGACGTGCTCCCTGCTCAGCTGTGCCAGGAGAAGGTGGACATGGCACTCCAAGATGAGCCTGGACTCCCGCACCCCACCCCATACACACACCCTGGGAACCCCTGAGGTCTCAAGAGGCACAGCTCCACAAGGACCTAAGGAACCCAGCACCACTTTTTCTACCTTTTGGCTACTACGCAGCCGAACAATAGTGCTGCTGTGAACATTCATGGACAAGTTTTTGTGTGGATGCATATTTTTATTTCTCTTGAGTGTATACCTAGGAGTAGAATTGATAAGTCAAAAAGTAACTCTATGTTTAACTTTTGGAGGAACTGCCAGATTGTTTTTCAAAGCAGCTGCACCATTTTACATCACATGTACGAAGGCTCTGAATGTACAAGCGTGTCACTATGTGACTTGTTATGACAGCCATCCCAGCGAGAGTGAAGTGGTATCTCATAATGGTTTTAATATGCATTTTTTGGATGACCAATGATGTCGAGCATCTTTTCATGTGCTTATTGGCCATATGTATATCTTCTCTGGGGAAATATCTACTCAAGTCCTTTGTCCATTACCTGATTGGACGGCTTATCTTTTTATTATTGAATTGTAAGAGTTCTTTATATATTCTGGATACCAGACCCTTCTTCGACATATGATTTGCAAATATATCCTTCCATCTGTAGGTTGTCTTTTCACTTTCTTGATAGTGTCTTTTGATGTGCAAAAGTTTTTAGCTTTGAGCAAGTCCAATTTATCTATTCTTTCTCGGGTTGCTTGTGCTTTTGGTGTCATATCTGAGACTCCATTGCCTTTGTCTGAGGGGATTAACCCTGCATTGCCTGAGGGAACAGTAATGGCCTCCCCCAAGGTAGTTACCATGAACAATGCTGATTCTCTCCAAGACCCATCCCACCCATCCCTCTTTATTTTGAGACCTATAACTAGTCTTAAGTCCCAGCAAACCCCTGAGGTGCAGCTCAAAGTGTGATCCATGAGGAGGTGCAGTACGCTCCGAAGGAACTACCACCTGGTCCACCATTCCTGCCAGATCATGGGAGGATGCATCCAGACCTAGAGGCGGCCGGGAGGGCATCCGATCTGATGTCCTGTGGACCTGACCTGCTTATGATGTCTAGTATGACGGTCTGACTCCCCAACCATAATTGAGGCCCAGGGATTACTGTCTGCCTTGCTCCTTGAATTTTGTTTGTTCTCTAGAAAAGTGCCTGCAAATAGTAGGCGCTTAATATATTTGTTGGATGAATAAACCCCAACCAGAACTTTCTCAGATATCTGAGTCAGCCTGGGCCTCCTCTGCCAGCCCCAATGATCCCATTTCTGGCTACACCAAAGACAAGGACCAGATACATAGAATCTCAGACCTCCTTCACAAATGGGAAACCAAGTTTGCTTTCCATGTTTTTCCAAATACAGAAAGGCTACAGGCCAATGATGGGGGAGGCAGAGAGCTACATCATGTTTAGAACATAATTAACAACCATAGCACATCTACAAGCCCTTCCTACTGTGCCAGGCACCAGGTCAGCACCTGCCGTGGCTTAACCCACTTAGTCCCTTCAGTAATCATATGAGGTTCATACTCTTATCACTCTATTTTTTTGAGGAGATAACTGAGGCTCAGAGAGGTGCAGTGACATTCTTAAGACACACAGCCAGTTGGTGGTAGAGTCCCCACTGTGGTGTGGAAGGGGCAGGCTCATTGAACATCTGGTCCAGAAAATGTTGGGTGGTGGTGAAGGCCCAGTAGGTACACAGAAAGGTGGTGATGTAGGAGATGTTTCTACACTGGAAGGCTGATACCAGGGACTCCACCAGCTTCTCCTGAGTGCCTGCCTGGAGGGTCTGCATCATGCAGATCTCACCCAGGTTCAAGGTCAACTCATTTTCACATTGGGAGGAATAATGAGGGACACAAAGTGAGAGGCTGCACCGTAAATCACCAGGAGGACCAGGATCTGGAGCACAGATCAGGAACTCCTAAATCCATACGGACGTGTGCAAGAGGAGAGATATGACTGCCCACAGCAAGAGAGGTTCTAGGATCCACAAAGACAGTTTAAGGGAGGGGGACAGAAGGAATGGTTAAACATGTAGCACCTTCAAGGCACTGTGCCAACTGAGGCACAACAGCACCTCCCTAATAAGAGCCTGTATGAACAATGGTATTCCAAGGAGTCCTCAAAAAGTCTCCCCATTATAAAGATGAGAAAACAGGGGCTTAAGAATGTCAAATAGCTGCTCAAGGTCATGCAGGTCAGAACTAAGGGCCATCCAAAGCTAGTGCTGCGTCACATTCCCTCTAAGCCACCTGAGGCTTGGTCTGCTCCTGACATGGAAGGCAGGACCTAGGGGAATCTCATTCCCTCCCCTGTTAGGAGACAGTTTTTTTTTCCTTTTTGTCTTTTTTCGTGACCAGTAACGGGATCGCAA